AAAAAAAAAGTACGGATCTGGGGTGGCTTCGCCTGGAACCCGAGCCCAGAAAGCCTTTGGGCACAGGGGAGGTGGGGACCTGAGCGCCGCACCTGCCGGGGGGCCGCACCTGCCTGGACGCCGGGAGAGGATGCCAGCCGGCCGCTTCTGTTCGTATACCGCTGTCGAAGGCCGAGAATAAATGCATCATGGAAAAGCTTCCGAAAGCACAATGTTGAGGATGTGTGCCACTGACACTTTAGACCAAACAATATACGCCACCCGGGACCACCCGGCTAATGGACCTGACTCACTTAGTTCCCACATAACGCCAGCAGGGTCTGGATCCTGAGGCCGATTGGCAATCACCTTCCCGGCACGGGAGAACTGAAGGTCGCCCAGTCCGTCTCCGAAATGGTCCCCGCGGGTTTTCCGGCGCCGCCGGAAGCGGTTCTTTCCGGAATTCAGAAGTCGGAATTCGGAACAGTCTCAGTTGCGACGAGGGTTATCTGAGCTTCACCAGGTGGGCGCCAGGCCTCGAGGCGCTGGTTAAATCTGTAGCCTCTTCCCGGGGTCAGTCGCGCGTCGATAAGCGATCAGAAGCGTCTGCTGATCTCTGCCTTTCTCAGAAGTAAATTACTGCAATTCTGCGGCTGTGAGCGGTTTCGGTGCCTACCCTCGAGGGAAAGAAAGTTAAACGAGGAAATGAAGAAATGATTGGCTCTTGCAAAACACATACCTAACAAGAAGGGAAAAATAGAAGGGAACGTGGCGGTAAAACCAGTTAGTATTGGTAAGGAGCGCTTTCTCTTTGAAAAGTCGCCACGTGTGGATAGCATTTGAAGAATAAAGTCACACAGTGTTCCAATCCCAGCGCATTCCTAGTTCTGTAGACTTGGAAACGTTATGTAAACTCTCTGTGCCTCAGTTCTGCAATATGATAATGATAGTAGCTACTTCATAGAACAGCGATAAAGTTTATAAGAGCACCTGGTTCATAATAAGGGTTTGCTGTTTTTATTACAGCCTCCTCCCAGAGCATTTCCACACCTTGATTGGACAGGTCTTTTGGCCGATCCCCTTAACCACAACCACCTCCACTTTTCAAGAGTGTTAAGTATTGTTTAATCTCTGCCCTCAAGGTCTAACACTACCCAAGGCTAATGACAGTATAGAAGAGTTTCTCAAAAGCATACTTACTGTTTTTTCCTTCCCTTAGTCTGACCTAACTCATGCCTTCTTTTTTGTCTCCCCAGTGCCTACCACAAAGGTGTGCACTCACTATTAACTGAATGATTGAATAGAAACCTCTGTCCTAGAAATCTTTTTAATGAACCTAACACCCACACACTTAAAAACGAGTTATTCATTCCGATTCCTATAATTTTACTTACCATTCACAAACACCCACTGAAGTGCAATTCTGCAAGAAATTGCTCTTTGCTCTCTTATTTGCCTTGCCAGTTGAGAAATAAGCAGAAATTGGTTGGTAGAACATCAAAGAAGGGGTCATATATTTATTTCCACAATATTAAAGTGAAAATAACTGATGCTTTTCTAATCATGATGATAATACATGCTAATGTAGAAAATTGAAGCAATAAAAGGGCTTAAAAAAAAAAAGGAACGAGGGTAATTTAAAAAACATAGGAGCTAACCTGAAAGAGCTCCCACTGGCCAAAGATGAGAACGTTTAACTAACAAAATAAGTTAAATAAGTATTTGTGTGTACATACTGGTATAAATGAGTGAATGAATGAATGAAGTGGGAGAAGGCACAAATTCATACTACAGGAGTCCATATAATATATCTTTGTAGCTTCTACTAGGAGGTAAAGCTTAATTCCCCTCACCTTGAGTGTGGGCTGGGCTTAGTGACTTGCTTCCAAAGAATAGAGTATGGAACAGGGAATTAATAACTTCACAGTGGAGAATGCTGGCAAATATCACCTAAACCAAGTAATCAAGGTGAATGTAATCAGCAAAGTCATGTTAGTATCATGTAACCCCTGCCATGTTGTAATGTGGACTCTCTTTCTCATATAGCATCCTTCCCAAAAGCCTATAAACCTGCTCTAATCGTGGGGAAAACATCAGGCAAGCCCAAATTGAAGAGCATTCTACAAACTACCTGAGCAGAACTCTTCAGAACTGTCAAGGTCATGAAATGCAAGAAGACAAACTATCACAGATTGTTAGAAACTAAGGATGATCAAATGCCTGTATAGAATCCTGGAACAGAAAAGCACATTAGTGAAAACACTGTGAAATCTGAATGAAGTCTGTAGTTCAGCTAATTGTACACCCCAGTGTTAATTTCTTAATTTTCACAAATGTATTATAGTTAATATCACATTACCAATAGAGGAAATTAGGTGAAGGGCATTTAGGAACTCTCCACTATCTTTGCAACTTTCCTGTAATCTAAATTTATTCCAAAATTAAAAGTTTATATTTTAAAAAAGTGAATCAAATCCTAAATCTCACATCTCCAGAGACAATCAATTTTATTATTTTGGTGAACATTATTCCATTTATCTCTATGTATACATGTACACATAGTTTTTCATAAATGAGATTCATACTATAAATGCTGCTTTTTGTTTTTACAACTTAACCAAAAATAATATTTCATATCCTTGGTGAAAGCCATTTGTTTTTACAACTTAACCAAAAATAATATTTCATATCCTTGGTGAAAGCCATTTCTCAGACCTCTGACATGATAGGTCATAAAACACACTTCATGAGGAAAATTGAATCCAAAGAAGAGTAAAAATAAATAAATAAAACAGAAAAGCAGCTGTATTGCAGCCTGTCTAGCAAATGGCTTTATCTTTTGTTAGTTCTGCCTTTCAACTTACCCCCTCTACTAATTTTTTTTTTTTGTGTGTGTGTGTTTCAAAATCTTGGCTGAAAGTTCCTGTAAGGAGCTAGGTCACTTTATTCTCTAGACCAACCATAGTTCTTGGTGATAATTAGGGGTAAAAGCCTTCTACAAGAGGAGCAAGCAGTGAATTGCTACCCTGTACACTCCCGCACAACAGTTCTAGAAAGAGCTATAGTCACCTCACTGGGCTTGTTCTAGGAAGAGGAAATCATAAAGAATGACACAAGAACTAAGCATCTTCCAAAGAGAAGCTGATCAAGGCTGCATTAAGGCAGTTCGAAACTACAAGATTAAATCTGTTTTGTTTTGTTTCAATTGTCATATATTGCCTTCACAAAATAAAGCAAAAACCCTTGCAATATAAATTGCTAGAGAAATAATGCCAGGAATTTTAAAACTTTAGAAAAGACTTGAGAACCTGAATCACGACAATCTAAAATTATAAGTAATAGTTAGAATCATAACTATATTTTCACTGCCAATTACATGCTAGTCATATAAATATTTTCTTATATTTAATATTTTGTATAGCAGTTGTTTTTGGCACATTAGCAGGTTTGAGGTCCACTGATGATTCAGTTTTCCTTAACTTTGATTTGACAAACACTCCCAGTGACAAACTGGTAATCTAGAGATCACATTTTGGTAAGGTGAATTTATTTTAAATGTGTGGCTTTGGAGAAAATCACTAAATCTTAATAATAATAATAATGATAGCCATCATTAATTCGATGTGCTATGAATGAGACATTGTTCTTAATGCTTTATAGTCATCTCATTCAATGCTGCAAGACTGAATGTCTTATTTTTGCACAATTTTAACAAACCAAAGGGATTGCATATCATTGAGGAAGTTAAGTAACTTACCCAGGCCATATCCTTAGTGATTGGTGAGAAGGACCTAAATTCATGTTTGATTCCAAGGCTGTTTCTTAACCACTTCCATATTTGAAGAAGTTGAATTAAAGATCTTTAGGATCTCAACCAGCTTTGAGATTTTACCTTTGAACACATGAATATTAATATTTTTTAGCTTAAATCTGGTATCAATCTGTACTCCATGGTATACGGTAAATCTTTGTGTTTCTGTTAATACTGCAGCTGCTATTAAAGCAACAATTATCTTTATGGAAAACAATGAGTAAACAATGACTTTGTATAGTACTTGTGGAAAACATGACATTAATCTCTAGGAACCTCTAATAAAAGCCATACCAATACTCATTAAAGATGTCTGCATTGAATTTTCTTCAGCAATGAGGTGGTTATCTCTTTACCACTGACATCCACATTACACAAAGCTTTTCTGTGGGCTTCCTCTTGAGCCTCATCAAATTATACTTCACTGATTTCTTTTTATAAAATTACATCTCTTAAAAATGTTTTTGCTATAAAGTCTTTAGTTTCACTTTTTCCAGCTTTATTAAAGTATAATTGACAAACCTGTAAGATATTTACTGTACAGTGTGATCTGACATACATATATGTTGTAAAAGGATTCCCCCATAATTAACACATTCATCACCTTAACATACTTACCTTTTTGCTTTTTTTGGTGAGAACATTCAAATTCTATTTTCTTAGCAAATTTCAATTATATAATACAGCGTTATCAACTAGAGTCATCATGTTATATATGAGATCATCAGACCTTATTTATCTTATAACAAGTTTGTACCCCTTCACCAACCTACATTCCTTACTCCTAATTCTTGTCCCATCTCTTCCACTAACTAGTTTAATTAAGACTTTGAATAAGACAACCTTTCTGGTGTTCAATATCTTTATTACAAAATGAGGAAGGTTAAACTCAGAGAGTATTATTTTTGAAAAGTTTAATAAAAAATATGACTCAAACAAATATAAAGTGAGTATATGTCTAAAGATGTATTTGACTCATTAATGATGTAACCAGCAAGTTGGTAAGCCTCATTTGAAGAGAACTAGGAAGTGCCAAGTATTTACAGTGGCTAAAAGAATAAATGATTGAATAAGATTGCTAATAAATATACAAAATTGACTAATATACTGGAGCACAATAAAGCTAGAACTTTTGGGGTTATCTTTTCTATGAGACGAAAATCATTTGCACTGCTACTGGGCAAAATTCACTTATATTAATACCAGTTTTTTTTACACATTAAGACCTACCTTTACAGAGTTGTACATTATCTGCATACTAAAAGAAAATAAATACCAAATTAATCAAAGGTGTACATTCCTGGAGAATCAGATAATCCCCAAGAATATCTGCCAAACAAAACCCAGCAGGACACACTGAAGGCACAAACGGTAATATCTTTGCCTATTTCTAAATTTTAGATAATTTTTCTTAACACAACTAAGAGTCCTTTTAGATTTAAATTTCTCTTTTAGGAGCAGTGCCAAAAATGTAATGCCACTAAGAATTATAACCGTTGTACACCACCAGTGAGCACACATTGATTAAGTTTATTCTACTTAGAATTGCCAATTGCCATTTTGTTTTTTAAATTTTTTTTGTTTTTATTTATTTATATATTTATTTTTAATCGAAGAAATGATTTAAATCGCCAATTGGCATTTTAAACCACCTAGACTAACTGAAAGGCCAACTGTAGTTTCCTGATATTTATTGCTTCAAAGAAAGCTTTATAAAGGATGTATCTCATCTTATACCAAAATTAGTTAATTCAATAGTTAATAAATACATAGTAAGAGCCCATCATGTACTAATCACAGTTTTAGGATAAAACAGAGAAATAAAATAGATGAAGACTCTTGTCCTCGTGGAGATTACATTCTTGTGGGAAATTCCAAATGAATTAAATATTTAAATGATAAATAAAAATAGAAGATAATGTAAATGATATCACTTATAAACTTGGGTGGGGGAAACCTTTCTAGTCATAATTCCCAAACCAGAAACTATAGGGGGGAAAAACTTAGATTAGCCTGGTGGTTCCCAAATTTAAGTGGGCATCAGAATTCTCTGGAGGGCTATTTAAAGCACAGATTGCTGGCCCCGTGCCAAGATTTTCTAATGCCATACGTATGAGATGATGACAATGATGTTGGTTTGGGGACTACACTTTGAGAATCTGGATTAGAATATATACATAAATATTTTAAATGTCTATATTGTCAAGTTATTAAAAACAAAATTAAAAGAAAAGCTACAACTGGGAAAACATTCACAATACTTGATCAATTAAGGTTGTAAATTGGGAACAATTCCTCCCTACTCTTGAAGTGCTTTTCTGTGAAAAGAGCTCATTTCATGCATTTTGGGCCTTTCTTCTGCCCCCTTACTCATTCAGATTCTGAGGAGATGGGTTTGATTTACTAAATTTGAGAATAACTGAGCATACCTCAACTCAACTTTCTTTCCCTCAGGAGCCATCAATGAATACAGTAAACAAAAATGACTGCATTCCCCTGCACTTTTACTTAATTCTAGTGGAGCTTATATTTTATCTTGAAGTTATTAAGTTGCTATTTAACGTCTATAGATATATAATCCTACCATTAGTAAAGGTAAGTGATACTGGTATTTTTCCTAAATCTTAAAAACACAATGCAAAAGCATGTTTGCTTATTTAATAGTCTTGACTCTGGTAATCAAATAATTGCTAATTAAGATGCGGAGAAGAGAATGTTCTCATACCGTAAATTGATGAAACCATTCTGGAGAGCAACTGGCCACAGCTATCAATTTAAATGTCTATACTCTGTAACTGCACTCTGGAAATTTACTCTAAGGAATAAATGAAATAATCATGCAAAGATATAGAGATATAGAAAAAGATAATTATCACATCTTTATTTGTAGTAATATGGAAAATTTGGAAATTTTTAGAATGTAAATCATTGGACATTAGAAAATATCCAAATGAGGAGCTGGGTAAATACATGTAATACTATAGAGCCTTTATAAGTAACAATGTAGATCTCTACCGACATAGAAAGATACCTATCCGGTGAAAAAAGAAAAGGAGATCAAAAAATATTGTATGTTATGTAATTGTGTTGAACAGATAAAATTAGAAATAAACAGCATTATATAATTATATAGAGTATATATACACATAATATATTTGATATGAATATATGTAAAGACCTGTGACTTAAATCTTTTTGTATATTTTTCCATAGTCTGATTTTTTAAATAAACATGTATGTTTTTAAAAGTATGATTTTAAAACATTTTAAAAATAAATTTATGTAACTTGTTAAATAACATTAAACAATATTTTTATACTCAAAAAAAGAAAGCTACATTATATTTTGGAGAAATACTAAATATGAGCTTGTTTCTGACTGAATTGGCCCTTTTTGTTCTTACATTACATCTAATACATTTCAAAGATGTATTTATTAATATTTACTCAAATCGGCATTTGCTATAAATAGGTAAATCAAATCAGCAAGGATAGAGGAAAAAAAATCTGTGATTTCTGGTCTCAATCTTATATTTTTATTAAAATTTATACAAATACATTCCACTTACAAGGTAATTTAATGCATTAAAATCACATGAAATTTCTCTTTTTAGCCAGTAAGACTAGGACAGAAATTCCAAACTAGGCCTTTTGAGTCACGCTTCTCTTGCTCAGGCCCACTTCCATGTCTGGAAATGTACTTTCTCTTCTAATGAAACTTTTCTTTTTTACTGTAAAAAAAAAAAAAAAAAATCCAAACTAGTTTCCATAAATCTAATTCAATTAAACTATTCTGAAATGCTAGACTTGAAAATATCCCGTTCATATGCAAAATAGGAAAAAATAGTACTTTTGTATAGAAGTTTTCTTGGGTTGCTGTGAGAACTGCCTATAGATCATGTAATAAAATTGACTGTAAGGCTCCATTCATTTATGTAGAGTTCACTAGGTCGGCAAAGTTAAGACTGGTTTGAAGGGACCTCACAGCATGCCTTGCTGACCTGGCCTCCCTTTGCAGGGTTTCCTTAAGTACAGTTATTGCTGCTCCACCTTGTGCCTGGGGATCACAGTAGTGTCTGGAAACAATTCCTACCCGAAGTAAACCTTCCTTATGACCATGCAATTTTAAATGATGTTTAAAGTGAACAAAAGAAAACGAATGCTACTTCTCTGCTTAACCAAGTTGTCATCTACTACACACGTTTTATGTTATATGAAACCAGTATTTTCCCAGGCAAGAAAACTGAATGTATTCATCTATCTCATATTTCAATTTGGAGGTAATTTAATTCAGCCTGCCCACTTAATAACTTTTCTACATCTAATTTTCTTCTCTTTTAAGTCTTTGTTGAAAACATTCTCATGTAATCTTGGTTGTGAAGACCTGGTTTATATTACCTTATATTTGTTATATTAATAACATCTTTTAATCTTTTTCAGACTTGGTTTACATTTATTTTTAGTAACTTATTGATTTCCCCTCCCCATTATAAAAATTATATATGCTTAATATTTTTAATATTTTAGAATATAGAAAAATAAAGAAAAAAATAAAAATACCCACAGTTCCATTAGCCAGAGATTATCCCTTCAAGAAATGTATTTTTAGCAAGTGAGAATTTTAGTTTCCAGCTCTACTGTGTGGGAAATGGAGCCATGTCTCCCTCTTCTTGCTCTTTGCAGGTCAATCACACTGTCTTTCAATGCTGCTTCCTTGGTTTGCTTCCTTGCATCCTTGCATACAGTGTCATGTTATTTCCTCTACCAGGGACACCCTTCTCTCCTCTCTTTGTCCACTTAATTCTTATTCATCTTTCAGATCTCAGTTTAAGCTTCACTTCCTCAGAGAGGCCTCCCTTGACCTACTCTGCCTCCTCCAAACTAGGTGAGAGTCCCCTACTGTGGGCTATCCAAGGCCAACTCTGGGTGAAATTGTGAAGTCCGACCTGATTTTCTCCTCTTTCACACTTTCTGTCAAGGATGTTATGCAGATGAGGACTCACTTTGCTGAGTCTTAAGAGGCTTCCTTTTCCAGGCCTTCAATTTGCACCCCAGAAATGACTTAAATTCACTCACACCATAGTGAAATGTCCCTAGGAATATCTGTTTAATTTGAGATTTGAGGCTTAGTCTAAATGAAACCCTAACGTGAAAGTTCAGATCTCATTCAAGGAGTGAAGGTTTCGCAAAATAGTGGAAAACAGCCCACCAAGAGGTAGGCAAAGGGCTTCTGAAAAAGTTGTTTTGGTTGCCACAGCTAATTATTCACAGATCAATAATAACAAAAACTAACTTTCGGAAAAGGTAAAATGTAAAATTATAGTTTATAAATTAAAAGTTGATAAGTCCTATAAGGATAGGGAGTTTGCAACCTCAGGGAGTTTTCCTGGTGAAATCAGGAACTGATCCCCCTACACAGAGTACAAGCAGTAACCCTAAGAGGCAGGCCACTCCAGATTGGTAGGTGACAGGTTTAATAAGCAAGGGAACTTACTTAGGCAGCTTGTCTCGGATGGCTGCAAGATGAGATCTCCATCCAGATTCTTAAGAGTTTATATAGAGGACTTAATATGGTTTGGTTACCTAATGTCCAGATGGTCTCAACAACACGTTACTCACAAGGCTACCTCCTATAGGTGCTTTCCAGTACAGAAACAGTGGGAGCAATGTAGTTCCAAGAACAGAGAACGAGGTGAGGAGTCTCTGCCCGCTTTATCTCTCGTGTCTACTGGAGGTCAGACACTCAACAAGGTCAACACTCCCTAAACTGAACCTGGTTACCGGCTCTGATTCTACTTAAAGAGCAGATGTACTGGACCCACGAAGCAGAAGCAGGGTTAGGAGAAAGACACGAGAATGAAGGAGCCTTCCTCCCGTGAGACACGAGGTAAGGAACTCAGACTTGAAAGGCTGTCTCCGGCGACAACTTTCAGGAACCCGCAAGGAGAGGAGCGCGAAGACGGCACCGCCCACCTCGGCAAGGCGCCGGCACTGGGCTTCCGGCGGCGGACTTAGTCTTTCCAGGCACTTCCGCCTCAGCCTCCCGGGAAGCCGGGCACTTCCTTTCCCAGGGTCTCTCCCGCCGACCACGACACCAGCATGGCAGGCGCTGAGTTGCGCACGGCGCTCGAGCAGCGGCTCGGCGCGCTCGCCATCCGCACGGAGGTGGTGGAGCACCCGGAGGTGAGGAGTTCCTGCCGGGACAGCCCGGCCCTTCGCAGTGGGTAGGCCCCGCTGCACCGTCTAAGGGGCGAGGCCGCCAAAACCACCTATCCCAGGAGTAATATGCCGCAGAAATGTCCGTTCTAGGGCGTTTCCCGGGTTCTAGAGTTCGAAAGGGACCTGACAGGAATATCAAAGGCCTTTCGAGAGAACTTGTTTTCCTCTTGGCGTGATTTAACACATTCCACGTTGATTAGTACAACATATTGAGAACTTGAGCACTTTACACTGGTGTGGGATGTTGATCAGTGTGTCCACTTTATGTGTAAAGTTACCAAGCAGTAAACCGTCTCTGAAGTGCCTACGATTTATCAGGCAGGCATCATGCATACAGCGAGACACCAAGGTTAGAGTTTGGCTTTTTTTTTTTTTTTTAACATGATTTAGCGTATAGATATGAAGATTTGCAAATACTTAGAAGAACCAATGTGTAACTTCAGTGGTTCAGGGACATAGTTTTTACCCAAGGCTTGAGTAACAGCTAATGATAATAGCTAAATATGGTATTTTTCAAAGGGTACAGAAATACATTAAAATTCAGTTTCACTCAACTTTGCCAATTTATCATGAAAACTTATTTTCTCTGACCTTCCTTCCCTATAGTCCACATACTCTCCCCTTCTTTATCTGTGCATAGTGCCAGCTTTTCTGATGTTCTCTATTAGTCTAGGGTCTCACTCCCTGCCCCCTCACTCTCACCGTGGTTATATATTTGTGGATTGAAGGTTGACACCTGGTCTGGATGTAACAGAATGCTTAGGAATAGGAGTCTGGGCTGCTATGAACTTTCAGTACCAAAAGTTTAAAAACAAAAAGCATTTTAGGAATGTCAGGGCTTGGCCAGCACACTGGAATAGAGAATTGACCCAAGAGACATTACTTGAGGTCCTAATATGAGGAATTGAGATAGTAAGTGCTTATAATTATTTGGTAATGGGTCTCTCTACCAGTGAAATCCAGGGTGTTGAGTACTTCCTAACCTTGCTGTTTTCACCCAGCAAGCAAAAATACATATAACTGTATACATGCATATAATTTCTCATGTGACATTTTACAGGTATTTACAGTTGAAGAAATGATGCCTCATATCCAACATCTGAAAGGAGCCCACAGTAAGAACTTATTTCTTAAAGACAAAAAGAAAAAGGGCTATTGGTTGGTGACAGTTCTTCATGATAGACAAATTAATTTAAATGATCTTGCCAAGCAGTTAGGTGTTGGGAGTGGAAATCTGCGGTTTGCTGATGAAACAGCCATGCTAGAAAAACTAAAAGTTGGCCAAGGCTGTGCCACACCCCTGGCACTCTTCTGTGATGATGGAGATGTGAAATTTGTACTGGATTCTGCTTTTTTGGAAGGTGGACATGAAAAGGTGTACTTTCATCCAATGACCAATGCTGCAACCATGGGATTAAGCCCTGAAGACTTTGTTACATTTGTGAAGAAGACAGGACATGATCCCATAATACTAAATTTTGATAAAAACTAATTGGGCCAATATTTAGAATACATGTTTCTGAAAGCTGTTTTTATTTGTAATTTGTAAAAAGCATTAAAAGTGATAATATTTAGCACCTTGGTTTTGGTGACTAAACCATTTTAGGAAGAATATTTCATTTTAAGGGGACTATTTTTAAAAAGATGTATTGAGGTAGTGTTAGCTCATATCCCACTCCTACCCCCATGACTTACTACAGGA